CGCCTTCCTCGTCATCCCATGCGGGAAAAGAGGTGTCAGACTCATAGTCGACCACATCGTCAACGAGGCCACTCGGCGATGATAGCGTGCGCGGAGCGCGACGTTTGTGGTCATCGAGCTATACATCCCTCGGTGCCGCGGACGCACTGTCCGACATCGCACTGCGTGCGGGGGATGAAGATGGGCTCTCCCCGTGCTCGCTGTCAGAACCAGCGAGACTTGATGATTTTAGTGTCGTGGACATAGGGCTCATTGATCATGGAAGTTGTTAAACCCCAACAAATTGAGTTGCAGTGTCTGACGGACACGCGAGCCTCATTGAGGCAATAATCGATTAGAACTGTAAATGCTCTCATTCTTTATGAAGGAGGGTGTAACGGGCCCTAATAACAGAGGGGGTGTCTCACGAGATGTGCATGATGTGACCATACAGAATACGGTATGGGGCTAGGTAGCCAGTAGTTATGCATGTATTTGGATTTTACTATATATATTTAGTATATTTAGGAAAAGTTCTAAATTTTGGATTAAAATAAAAATAAAAATCAGTTTGGGATCTAAACCGAAGAGTCGATTATCCTTGGGAAGGCAATAATCACTCTTGGAGTAAGGGGATTGCGACCCGCTAACTCATACTTGGTTCTTGTAAAGAACGAAAGGTCGATGACCTATAGTTAGCTTCCTCAAGCGTTTTGCTACGGCAGCCCAGCTGCAGTTCAGGCTGTGATTACTCTTGAAGTGAGCGAATTGCGATCCGCTACACTCCTACTGGGTCTAAGTATAGAACGAAGGTCGGTGACCTTAGCTTTGGTTCCTCTAAGCGCAAAGCTACGGCATCCGCGCTGCATTATTTGCCTTGAGTTCAGGTTGTGATCACTCTTGGAGTAAGCAAATCGCGATCCGCTACACTCGTACTGGGTCTAAGCATAGAACGAAGGTCGGTGACCTAAGCTTTGCTTCCTCTTAGCGAAAGAGCTACGGTAGCCCCACTGCAGTGATCCCAGCGGGGTGGTGGGAGGGTGTAACGGGCGTTACGTAAGCTATCGAGTGAATGTACACATAAAACTGGGGTCCATCGAGCGATGCTCAAAAAAAATACTACGATGAAGTATGATGTTAAGTCGTTGATACCCACAGGGAAATGTCAGCCTCACACTTAAAGATTTTGAGTTAGACATCTTTGAGGCGGCAGGTGGGCCCATTTGTGTAGAGAGAGATCGAACTCTCATATGTGAACCCTCCTCTGTGTGAGAGACTGTCGACAAATGTTAATCAATCGTCTTGGTTATCGAATTAAGGTACTAGAAAAGACAAGAAAAAGTTAGATTGCCGACTGCCAAAACTCCAAGCATAAAGCGCTTATATTGCGGTAGAATATCGTGAATGGGACAAGTAAACAGTATGATTTAGATGTGATAACTTCCAAACAGGCTTGGACTTCACCTAGCTTAGCAAACCACAAAAGACCTCTCTGATAACTTCAGTATTTTGTGAAACCTATATGTAGTATCATCTTTCGCGTCTCTTCACATGCTATCTCAGCAACTCTTCTGTCGCCATGGTGAGCGATAGCCTATCTTTGAGTCCACAACTGGTGCTATGACACTTTGTTTTTGCCTCTAACAGGGTCCCAAAAAGAAAATCAAAGCACCCAAGAAGACTAAAGCGGAGCTAGAAGAGGAGCGGCGCTTGCAAGAGGAACGAGAGGCACGACTGCGGGCTGAAGAGGAGAAGCGCCTTGAAGAAGATCGAATCAGAATTGAGGAAGAGGAAGCTCGACGCTTAGAGGAGAATACTAGGAATCGTCAAGCTGAGTTGGCACGTCTAGTGCACGAGCACAAAGAAGCCAAATCGGGTCTGAAGGCCAAAGCTGTGCGGCTTGCTGAATTGTTGCGCATGCAAAAAGAAGCCAAGGATTGGGAAAACTACCTAGCATGTCAACCTCGACCGAACGCAGAAATCGAAGTTGACATGAACTCCTTTCTTCACTCGTGGGAAGTTGATACGACCACTTTACAATTGGACTTGCCCGCTGTCATCACCGCTTGCGAAAGTGCTACGGAGGTCATGGAGGATCTGAACTTTGTAGCTGCAAACGCATGTGCGACCAATGATCACGCACTCCAAATGCAGTGTGCACGCTTTCTATCTCAACTTCAGAAACTTGTTGTTGAAAAGGTTGATGCTGTTACTGCTCGAGTTCTTCAGTACGCTGATGAGTTCGCGGACGTGACCCCCAATATGTCAAATAATATCAATTCACGTGGCGAATTTAAATTAGCGAGTGCTTCTTCCAAATCGGGTTGTGTACAAGTTGGGCTGTGGGTCAATCTATTTGCCAAAGGGTTGTCGCGCACTAAACGAGTAGAGTTTGTCGAGCTTGGTGCCACCGTTGACCTCCCTAAAGCTGTCATTGCTCAGTCACTGGCACTGCGTGTGGCATTTTGGCCGTTTGATACTTTTTCTTCTGTTTCAAAAGGTTTCGGAAATGATATAGCACTGGGTGGAGTCTTCTCGCTCGAGTTAATGGCTGTGCCAACACCCCCGAAGCGTGCTCGCGGCTGGATTATGCGGGAGATCCCCAGTGCGCGAGATCAGCTCAAGAGACTACACTATCCTTTGGATGGTATGGTGGCTTCTACTGCATTGCCAATCAAAGCTACTTACACCGTGCCGAAAGACGTGTTGCTCGAAACAAAAATTAATCAAGCTGCAAGAGTTAAACCTCGAATTGGCTGGTGGGATACCACGCAAATGCAATGGGCAGAAGAAGGTGTGAGCGATGTTGTTTACCAAGAGGACACTCACTCCGTCAGCTTCAGTACATTGCACCTTACTCACTTGGCTTTACTTGTTCGACGCGATCGCAATTATCATAAAAGCTCGTGGTCATTATGTATGGTGACTAGTCAAAGACAAGATGAGGATGCTAGATTTGACTACAGTCAACCCGGAGATAATGAGCTTGGAGATATGCGTGCTTCTCTTACGCTAAGCACGGCAATGCTTTCCCGCATTCAGTTTGAAATCACGCCTTTTGGTGTCCAACTCGTCGAACCCGACTTTCCGCAACTCGAAGCCTTGCGGAAAAATGTGCTGCCTCCTGGTGAATTGCTGGTACGACTTGCACATGCTGGAATTGATCTATGTCCTCCACCTGAGATGAACGATGTTAGCGGAGAAAGAGGTGAGGGACAATCACCGCGACCCTATTGTGCAACCAAGTTCAAAACATTTGAAGACCGTGTTATAGATGAGATTGCTGGTGTTTCAGCCGGCGTTGAAATCACCGATGGCAACGATAATGCTGGCAGTTGCGGGTTAGCAGCCACATACTGGCCAGGAGCGATTGGCAATAGCAAGCAGATCGTATTTTCTGTCAAAGAGATATCGTGGCCCTACATGTCTGACGATTACGAAGGCAATCAAGAACCAACTGGAGAGGATGAGAGTACTAGCATTGCGATCAGCACTGAGCGCGTTTTGGTACTAGCTGAGGCTGACGAAGAAGCTAAAGGAGGGGGTGTAAAGTTTCGATTGGGTCGTACGGATATTTGCTATGGAGAAGAAAGAGATAATGAAGACATTTACAATACGCACGTGCATCTTCGCCAAGCGTTGGACGAGATAATGTCACCGGATGCTCGTGACCGAATTGACAATTCACACGTGCTATTTGAAATGAATCTGCAGAAGATGCTGCGTTTGCTTCGCCTTTTTAGCTTTTCGCAGCCATACTTGCTGCCTAAAGAGGAAGATGAGTTTGAAAAGGATCAAGATACTGGCGAGCCAGTCACAGAATGTCTTGTGAAGGAGAAAGAAGGCACTGTAGACCTCGATAATGCAACAAGTGCCGAGGTTGAGACAAAATCAGAACTTGTACATGTTCCCATCGAGACCATATAAACAACAATATTTACTTATTTTGACAATTCAGTTAAAATGCGATGGGATTCCGAGGTGCGTAACAAATTCAGCATACCCGCCTATATACTGACCGTCTAAAAAGATCTGAGGCACACTTTGAACAGGTTTGCCCACTATCTGCTGTAGCAGCTGAAGTGAAATATCTTTGGGGACGCTCACTTCATCAAACATCCATTTGCGCTCGCGAATAATGTCTTTGGCAGCCACGCAGTACTTGCACGTTGGTTTGGTGAACAATGTGATGCCCTTCTCACGCTTCGTTAGCCTTAGCAGTTTATGCTCGGGCTTTGGCAATGGATTGTCAAACCTTAGGTCCTCTATCTTCATATCGTGCATGTCCAAGTGCAATCCGCACTCTTGGTGCTTGCCGTTGAATCTTCCAGCGCGATCGTTGCCTTTGTCCGCATCTGTCACGGGCCGACTAGAATGAGCATCACCGACACTCTCATATCCCAGCGCCTTGAGTGGATGATACTCAAGCTGATTTATAGTCATGTACTGCTCTATTTTATCCTTGCTCCAATTTAGAATAGGGCAGATCTTTAGTCGACCGTCGTACACATTAACTAGCTTCATTTGCTGGCGGTGCTCTGTTTGGTCAGCGCGCACACCCACAAGTAGCACAACAGCGCCAAGATCTTTGAGCGCACGCTGCATGGGCTCCACTTTACGCATGAAACCATACTGGCGATGCGCTTCAGGCGTCTCATGCTCGTACAGCTTCCCAAAAAGCGCTTCCATGCGCGCTGGGGTAATTTTCGACTGATATACACATACGTCCAGGTCCAGCAGTTCCGTTAGGTGTGCCGCAAATTGATACGTCTCCTTAGGCAAGTATCCTGTGTCTATCCAAACTACGGGGATGTCCCTGCTCACACCGCGGGTCAGATGTAGCATGACAGTAGATTGAATGCCAAAACTTGAGCTTAGTACCGTTCGTTTACCAAATGTATCAAATGCCCATTTCACGATTTCTTGCGCCGTCAGGCCATCAAACTGCGAATTAAGTGCATCAGCGTATGCATCTAGCGAAGAGTACAGAGACCGATCAAATACAAGTGTATCCATATTGCCACGTCGTGTAACAGTTGTATTTAAAAAGTGAATACAGTAGATCTTGCCGAATTAAATTGTCCATGGAAAACAGTGTATTCAATCTCTACCAAGAAGGCCTTGCGCCTGATCACGTCCTTCAGCTGTGCTATTTGCGCCGCCCTGTATCAAGAAAGATGCGGTTCGAGCAGACCAACATCGAAGATGAGTTTGTGTTGCCCCGACCAGAAGTAAACTTGGCGAGTCTACTGCCACCCACCGATTTTTCATTGGATGATCTCTTTGAAATTAAAGCCGCCGAACTAAGTCTGGATAAATCAAATGCAGCATCCTCTAGCCGCATTTCAATTGAAGAGATTCGCGAAAGTGCAAGGCGGCATATTTCAAAACCTCAGCATACTCTAGCTGAAGAAGTGCAGCAGTGGTTTGCGCTGCTTGAAAGTGATTGGATTCAGATTTACAGAGGCATACCATGTGACCAGGACGACTCCGTGACAACCGTCACCGCTGCTGCTGTCATACCGGATATCGCGGACGTTTTTTGGATGCTGGAACACTGCCCTAGTGACGCTTATATCAGCTTTGTGTGGAATCATCTTCTTATATCACTTCTACAACAAGGGGTACGCTCGAACACGTTAGACCATCAGCGTCTAATGGCTCTTCTAGTTGCACATCACTCGTTTAAATCCCTTGCTCCAAAGGATTTCCGCGCGAAAGTACGGGCACGAAACTTTCGGCAAATTGGCGATGCGTTAGGTGCCCAAATCGAGCTCAATCTTATAGCGATCTATCGAAGACAACGAGATGCTGCAAAGTAAATACTTGCTTATCACTGACCATCACTCTGTTAAACAAATTGAAGTTTTCGTAATAATAATTAAGCACTCGCTCATTCCGCATTTGCGCGAGCGAACGAGTTCAAGACACTTGATATGGAACGTGCTGGCGGTAATCTTAGTCACGAATTTGGCAAGATAGGATTCGCGAGCAAAGGTATTCCTACCAAAGGAAAGTTTAAGCTTTCTTTTTCAAAAGATTTGTTACCGCTGAAAGCGAGTACGTAAGCAACTGTACACTTCCTGCGCTCGCATTGGTAACTTATGCCTTTTGTCGCCGCACAAATTAGAAAAACAACTGAATCAAGAAGCTAAACCTAAAGCGAAGTTCGTGACGTCATCAGGGGTAGCCATGGCGATAAACAAGAAAAGTAAGGTAGAGATGTAGCAAATGTATTGATTCACACGACTCGCTAACAACAGAACTTGTACAAGAAGGTACAACAAAGTCAAAGACGAACGGCTTCGCAACCAGTAGCTTCATGCGGCAGCCTGCGAAGGATAGACTACCTAAGAAATCCTTAGGATTTAGTTTTATGAGATTCCAGCCCAAGCCAAGTGGTCCCGCAAATCCAACTTGCACGTCGCCGAAAGCGACACAATCAGCACTTGCAGAAGCAAAACCATTGCTGGGCAGATTAGCCATTAACGCAGTGAAGAAGAAAAAGTACAACTCTACGGTGGATACTGCAATGAAGAAAGGCAAATTTAACAATTTTCAGCCGCAACCAAAAGGACTGCTGCCATTTGCAGCTCGTTCAGGGACCGAATCCTTCAACTTGAAAAAAAGGAAGGCATCTCAAGACAAGAATTGCTCATTTCCGAGCAAAAGTGCACGTGGATATACTTGCTTAGCGTTGTCAGATACTATTTGCGACAAGGAAAAGAGTAGCGTCACTACGGCTAGAGCCAACGCTAAAATGACTGGAGACACATGCTCTGATATTCAATCAGGTGGGCTGAAGACAAAGTTAAATTGCGGATCACTTTTGAAGAAACGAAGCTTGCTGGCGACCTCAACAGTGGCAGCTCCGGGAACAAAGCGGAGCAAGGCTCCGGTCGGTATGCCTTCCGCTGCGATAACAGCAAGTTGTATCTCTAAAGAGTCAAGGGAAACGGTAAATGAAGAAGTCAAAGCAAAGTAAGGGCAGGCACTCATCACGAATTCAATAAGGGTAACATCTGACGAGCTTATTATCGGCCATCTTATGAACAGAAAACCTTTAGTTGATGGTTATGATGCCAATGCGGATCAAGCTCCAACTGCTCATGATTTTGAGCAAATCTCTGTGTATACTGCTACTGATGGACACGTTCGTGCGGAGCTGAATGCTGTGCCGTCTGAATCACGAGAAGAGTGGTACGATCGTTTCTTATGTCACGATACTCAATTTGACCTAACTTTAGTGGTCTTAGTGGAGCTGATGAAGAGCTTGCGATTATTATGATGTGCACAATGGTAAGTTCAGACACAACCTAATTTCATGACCTATCTCAACTTTATGTCAGGACGATGACAAGGAGGAGGAATTTATGATCAAGGCGGGAGCGTTACAGGAAACAACTAATCGAATGGGGCTTGAGCAACGGTTTCTTCGAAAGCGTCTTTTGGATGTTCATGGTAAGAAGTCGAGACTAGTGGATTTACAGTACTATTGACCTCAAAGCTTCTGATCGCAGCTGACGTCAGCGAGAGTCTGCTCGACGCCCTAACTGATCTTATGGTTGAAGAGGGTGGCATCGGGATCGATAAAATTAATTTTGACATACATGTCGATGTCGATAGTGGCGACGCGTTTCCGCATGAGGATAGGAATCAAGTTTTTTAATAGTGAAGAAAAAAATAATTCAGTGGCGAACATATGCTTTCACGAACGTTTTAAAGGCTCTGATGTGTTAGGAGTACACCACTAACGTCGGAACATAACAAAGCACCATTAGTCACTATCAATTCGCATCGATACACATACGATGCTTTCTTACCTTCTTAAATTCTTCGAAGCTGAGTTGGTCATCTCCGTTAAGATCTGCCTCGTCGAAGCATCGATTTGCAGTGATTCGAGCAAGTTCCTCGGGTGAAACACCCATTCTGAAATCAGAGCTGCCCGTCGTCTCATTCATAACCTTGAAAATGGATGTCATATAATTGATCATCTCTTCTTTCGTGATACATCCGTCACCATCAATGTCATATAGCTGAAAAGCCGCACGAACTTTGTCGTCCACGCTTGATCCAGACAAGATTGAAAGTCCACTAGCAAGCTCACCAAAATCGACAGTATTGCTGTTGTCTGTATCAAACACCTGAAAAAGGCGACGAATTAAGGCATCAGCCTCTTGTCGCTCTCCGTGAGACTCGTGTCCCCCTGCTAATCGAACGATTTGATCAAAGCACTTCTTAAATGCCGCAAACGACAGAACACCGGAAGGAGCAGCCTCAGCAAATATTTCTAGCAAATCGTTAACCTCATAGGTGTCTAGCTTTAGTAATTGTCGAAAATGCTCCAAATTTGAGCTATTCATAGTTAGAGCAGATGCTGTGTGTGGTGAAAGCGGTGTATCATCATTAATTCGCTTCAAATCTTGAAACTGATCAAGCAAAGAAGTAACAGAGGGAGAGTCCATGGTGACTAATTGGGGATCTTTATCAATATTTCGCACCGTTCTCCTCGGTGATTCGGGTGTCATTGTGGCTCGAATGAGCTCTCGAGAAGGTGAGTCATCTCTAGGTCGCGCGCACGTGAGATCTTCAGTAGCTATATCTTCAATTAACTGCTGACCAAAAATGCTAGTCGCAGCTGCTGCAGGTTTTATAAATTCTGCTGACTTCGAGTACCAGGCGACAAACTCATCAAAACTAAGTTTCCCATCTTTGTTCAGGTCTGCTTCCAGAAAGCATTGTTCTGCCGTGATTTTCGCCAACTCCTTCGGCTGCACCCCCAGTTTTACATCAGTTCCTGGGCTAGCCTCGTACAAAACCTTGAACACACTGGCCAAATAGCGTACCATTTCATCCAAAGCGATAAATCCATCTTGATTGAGATCATAAAGTGAAAAAGCTGCCCGTACTTTTTCCTCCCGAGATCCGGCACAAAGTACCGATAACCCACTACTCAGCTCACAGAAATCGACAGTGCCACTGTTATCCTCATCAAAGATAACGAAAAGTCTGTTTAAAATTAGTCGCAATCGTGCCAGGCTAACTTCATCGATTTTATACTGCTCATCAACAAGCTGTTCAAAACACTCTTCAAAGGCCTCGCGTCCCAACGTTCCATCTTCTGAACAACGGTTGGCAAAGATTTCAAAGACTTCGTTTGCCGTGTATTTCTCCAAATTTGTCATATGTTTAACCACATCCAGGCTGACCCACTCGGGCACATTTCCTTCAACCGTTCGCGCTTGTTGATGCTGTTGATCCACTTGCCCAACATTTTCTACTGCTTTTGACTGCATGAACCACTGACGAAATTCTGCAAACGAAAGCTTTCCATCCCTGTCCTGGTCCGCTTCGGCAAAAGCTTGCTCTGCTGTGATCACGCCTAATTCTTCGGGTGTCACGCCCATGCTTGCTTCACTGTCAGACTTCATCTCAAAAAGTACCTTAAATACAACTGTGAGGTACAGACGCATTTCACCCAGCGAAATGTATCCGTCATGATTTAGATCATACAAATTAAAGGCAGTGCGCACCTCATCAGTGTGAGGTGTTCTACAAAGCATCGACAACCCTCGCACTAACTCTTGAAAATCAACTAAACCATTCTTGTCCGCGTCAAATAGATCAAATATACGGTCCACTAGCGTGCGCAACCTGTCTTTGGTATGTTTATGCCCAGACTCGACCTCGAAAAGGCCAAATGCCTGTCGAAATGTCCCCCTATCCATGGTGTTGTCTGCAGCGGTAAGTTTACTGAATGTGTTCAAAGCTTGTTGAGTCGAAAACGATTTAAGATTGGTCAGGCGCCGCACTTCACGCAATGAAAACCATTCTGGAATATTATTCTGGAAAAGTCTATACATGTAGGCGACATTGGCTCGTGTAAACCACTTGCAAAACTCTAGATAACTCAAGCGATTTTCTTGAACGAGATCGGCTTCATCAAACGCTTGCTTAGCAGTACGCGCAGCCAAATGTTCGGGAGAATCACCGATGATATGTTGCAGCCTAGATGGTGATGCCTCCACCAAAAGTCTAAATACAGAAGTTAGATGTCGCGTCATTTCGTCAATTGAAATGTACCCATCGCCGTTGTAATCATAGAGCGAAAATGCGGAACGAGTTAATTCCTCCGACAAGCAGCCGAAAAATACTGAAAGGCTATTCACGATTTCGCTTAAGTCGACAACTCCATTTTTGTCAACATCAAGCAGGTTAAAAATACTATTGAAAAATATATCAATTCGCTCGTATCCGTCCAATTTTGTGTCTTGTATTGACGAAATAATATGCTGACAAAAATGATCAAATGCCTTTCGTGACACGTATCCCTGCTCATCGACGCATTCCGCTAGTGCGTTTAGTGCCTCCATAGGTACGCGCGCCTGCAAGTTGGGTACATGTCGAGCTTCTGCTAAATTAACTAATTGCTTCACGTTCTTAGCCACCTCACCAATACTACCCGATCGTTGATACCATAGCTGGAACTCTTTTAGTGTCAGTTGTCCGTCATGATTTTGATCAGCCTCGGCGAACGCTTGTTGAGCTGTGACTTCTCCTAATTCCTCTGGAGTAATACCAAGAGACTGCGTATCCGGAGATACTTGAAAGAGTACGCGGAACACTGATGTAAGGTATCGAGTCATCTCATCTAAGGAGATGAACCCATCGCCATTAAAATCAACAAGCGAAAAGGCTGCTTCTACCTTTTGAATTTCTGTACCTCCGCAAAGAATTGACAGTCCGCTCGCAATTTCTCCAAAGTCCACCATACCTTTTTTATCTTTATCAAACAAATCAAAGAGGCAACCAACAACTGTTTGCATTTTGTTTTGCGTGTCAGGATCTGATGCACGGGTATTTATAGTCTGACCGTTGATAACCTTACGAAAACTTTCATCAAAGGCGCCCCGTGACAAATAACCATCTTCGTCCGCTTCACCGGCAAAAATTTCAAATACTTCTTCCGGTTCATACTGCGCAAGATTCGTCAGTTGCTTCAAGTCGCTAAGTGGCATCCATTGCAGAGGCGAATCGACTATAGCGTTCTTTGTCACGACGCTACTTATCCCTCCTTGCGTTGGAGAGTTGTACCATCTCAGAAACTCATCGTAACTTAACTGTCCATCGCGATTCAAATCCGCTTCGAAAAATGCTTGCTCCGCTGTAACTACGCCGAGTTCATCAGGTGATACACCAGTTTCTCGCTTCATCTTAGGCTGTACTTCGTAAAGCACCCTGAAGATAGATGTCAGGTAGCGTTTCATTTCGTCAAGCGAGATGAAACCATCAACATTCAAATCGCACAGACGTAGTGCATCTTTCACTTTTACGTCCCGTGCGCCGTTGCAAAGAACGGTAAGTCCGCTAGCCAGCTCTCTGAAGTCAACTGACCCGTTCCCGTCAGGGTCAAATGCAGCATACAAGCGACCTGCCACCAATTTTGCACGCATCTTTTCAATTTGAGTACGTGGGCTGGCTGATTCGACAATTTCAAATAAACACCTAGTAAAAGAACTTCGGTTCAGCATCCCTCTTGCATCGGCATGATCAGCAAACCGCTTAAATACCTCCACCACATCAACATTTCCCAAATTGGTCAATTGACGCACTTCATCGAGGTCTAGAGGAGCCGCAATGTCGTTAAAAGATACATGTTCTGGTCGGGTGTACCACCTCTGAAATTCCTTAAAATTCAGTTCTCCATCTTGATTTACATCGGCAACCTCGAAGATTTCACTTGTTGTCGCTACAGCTAGAGTATTCGCTGAAGTCCCAAGCTGCTGCTCACGCGTAGGATCCAATGCAAAAAGCAGCTTAAATACCGATTCAAGGTAGTGCGTCATCTCATTCTTCGAAATAGCGCCATCCTTATTCGCATCATAAATTTTAAATGCAGCCAGGACTTTTTCATCTTGAGTGGATGTGCGACATAATATAGACAATCCACTTAAAAGCTCCTTCATGTTAGCGATACCCTTATGCTCTGTGTCAAATGCGGTAAAAAGTCGATCAATCACTTGCATGCGAGTACTGTAATCTTTTGAAAACGACGGAATGATCTTGCCACAAATTTGCGTGTAGAAGCATTCATCGAAAATGCGTCGCGAAATCCGCTCACCTCCACCAACTGCTGCGCCAAAAATGTTTGACATTTCCTCCAAAGATATTCTCTCTAGACCGGACAGCTTCTTCGCAATCTCGACCGGTATTGATAAATCGTAACCGTTTGTAGCACCCGATAATTTTTCTTTTTGACGAGTGTGCGAATTTTGATGCTCAAACCAAACTCGAAACTCATCAAAACTCAACAGTCCGTCCTGGTTCTGATCAAAAGCCAAAAAACATTCTCGCGTAGTGGACTTGGCAAGCTGCTCCGGCATCATTTCAGTCTTGGCCGGCAGCTCAGGGTGTGCCTTAAACAGCACTTTGAAAACTGATGTCAAGTACAAAGCCATCTCCTCGGGGGAAACGAATCCATCATGATCAACATCATACAATGTGAACATTGATTTCGCTCTGTCGGCTCGACTTCCGCCACAGAGAATCGAGAGTCCAGCACAAAGCTCCTGGACGTTAACTGTTCCATTTTGATTGGGATCAAAAAGCTCAAAGATTTCTTTTAACAAACTCTGAGTTTTCAATTGTTTTTCAAGACTGAGCTGTCTGTCTTTCGCTTGCAGCTTGTTAAAACAACGCATGAAAAGTGGTTGCGAAACGTTGCCATTTTGATCTGCTGCAGCCTGAAAGAAGTCAAAGATCTCGGTTACGTCGTACGCATCAAGATTCGTTAGCTCCTTCATCTCATTCAGTGCGTCTTTTGAAGTAATCAAAGATATTTTGGCGGATGTCGTGGCGCCGTTAGAAGTAGATAAGTCACCTTCAGTGTTTGGAACAGGTGACTTCACACTACTTCGCTGAGCTGTGCCTTGTGTACTGTACCATTTTGTAAATTCATCGAAACTCAGACGACCATCCTCGTTTGCATCAGCAAGAATAAACGCCTCCGCTGCTGTAATATGTGCAAGTTCCTCTGGAGAAATTCCGCAAAGATGTTGCGTTAGTTCGGGGGAAGTCATGAAAATAATTCGATATACGGAAGCCAGATATGTTTCCATTTCATCACGAGAAATAAATCCATCTTGGTTGATGTCAAACAGATCGAAAGTTGACTTGACTTTCTCCTGTTGTGACCCTGAGCATAATATTGAAATACCACTAGATAATTCACAAAAATCGACGAAACCATCGTGATCAGTATCAAATCCATCAAATACCGCCTCCAAAATTTTCTGGAGTTGATCTTTTTCCTCGGTACTCAGCGAGCGATTTGTATTTGCGACATTCTCTTCAACAAGCTCATCAACAATAGAAAAAAAAGCTTCGCGAGACAAAACTCCATCTTCGTTCACTTTCGCCGCAATAAGTTCAAACACATCGCTGGCTGCTCGATCTCGCAGTCCTGTAAGCGAAGCAACAAAATCGGACGTCCCAAAAAAATGGCTAGAATTACTCTCGGGCTGATTTTGAATCACTGAACGTGAGTTCATCATGGATTGCTGGTAGTCTCCATAAACCCAATACCAGCTATGGAACTCTTTTAGCGTTAGCTTTCCATCCCTATTTTTATCCCAGTCATCAAAAGCTTGCAACGCTGTGTAATAAGCCAACCTTTTAGCGTCAATACCAATGAGCTGCCTTGCTGCTGGTGTTGTTTCGTAAATGATTTTAAATACTGCCTTCAGATACGTCTCCAACTCCTGCTGCGTAATATACCCGTCCCCATCACTGTCGATTAGCGAAAAAGCCGCTACAACTTTATCTTCATCTAAGCTACCGCACAGAATAGAGAGTCCGGTGCACAGCTCCACGAAGTCGACCGAATCGCTTTTGTTCTCGTCAAAAGCATCAAATAGCCGATCTAGAAACGTCACGATCTCATAGGTTGCCTTTCGGTTTAAGGTTTTCAAAAGAGCACTAAAAGAACTTTTGAATTCGGCGCGAGTAAGTGCTTCTTTAGATGCACCATTCAGAAAAGCGTAGAGGTCCGACATGCTCAAAGTGGCCAAACCCGTCACTTCGCGCAAAGTACCCACGTCCAAAACTTCTGGTTGCACGTCATTATCACGTTTTGTTTCTTCGCTTCCTCTGCCGCGCTCCGCAGTAATGAGCTGTGTAGGACCAGGCTTCATATACCACTTCCGAAAAGCATCGTATGACAGCTTTCCCTCCTCATTCAAAGTCGAATCATCAAAACACTGGCTCGCCGTCGCGACCCCCAGTTCCGCTGGATTGATACTAAACACCAAAAAAGCAAAAAGAAATGAAATACAGCAGCTAGTTAGCAGCAATAACAAACGCAATACTGAAAGCACCGCAACGCACCTATTATCTTGAAAATGCCTTGGTGACGTTCCTTTAATGACTAGAAACACAGCTGTCAAATATTTCGTCATCTCTTCCTTCGTAATAAACCCATCGCCGTCCACATCGTATAGTTCGAACGTAGAAGAAATCTTTTCCTGACGCTCTCCGCACGCAAAAACCGAAACGCCACCCAGAAAATCAGCCACGTCAACAGTATCTGGACATTCGCTTTGCTCTTCAAAGATATGAAATAGCTTCGTAAACATCTTTCTCGCCTGTGGATCATAGCGTCCGGACTGCGACAAAATCTTCTCTAAACATCGATTGAACGTTATGCGGTCCAACGCACCTGTGGGACACGCTTGTGTAAAGACATTGACAAGTTGTGGCAGCTCAAAGTCCGAAAGGTCGAGATCCAGCTCGTCCTCGGTCGACGCAGCCTCAAAGTGCTGCAAACTGTCAGCATCTTCATCCTGTACGTCAGAAGTCGTCAATATCTGATTCTCGCGTCGATCAGGCGTATTGCGTGTCCTAGCGCCGCGCTTGCGGCTGTGGTGGGCTCGATGTCGATGCTTGCTGCCTCTCCTTACGAATTCTTGAGTTGCAATCGATTCTTTCTCAAGAACAAGGTGAAATGCAGCATTCTCGAATAGCTCAGGTGAGCGGCATAGCAATGACAGTGGATAACAGATGTGGTTTGTGGCATGCCGCACCGCTACGGGCACCTTGTTAGCACCTGGAAACCCTGCAGCAACACACTGCAGTAGCTCTTGCAGTGGCAATCCCGAGCACATCATGATCTCACGTGCTTCATCGCCTAGCAGCAGTGTCACTGCGCTCACATGCGTCGTTTCGTGCGCCATCGTGCTGGTTGCAGGCTGTAGAATTTTTGCTCTATAGATACCGGTAATGTAACGTAGCAAAGGTTCGAGATCTCGAACTCGTAACCAAAGCTTTATATAAGAATAGTGAGTACTATGAAGAAAAGCGAAGGTCAGAATTACCATGGAGTACAGTGATAAAGTACTGTGATTAGTAATCGTGCGATGTGAATCATTCACTTTTAAGGGTAATTGTAGAGGCAATATGGCATCTAGAATAATAAATATATGAGTATATTTTATAGCGAGGAGATACACTAATTGCAATTCTGAATCAATCAGAGCAAGTCTAAATACGACCCATCCATTTTGCGTTAGTCAATGCGACCTCTACTGAGAGGTGTATGCAATGAGGTAAATCACAAAAGTGGTATTTTTAGTTCTGTATATCAAATCATTATCCGACATGAGTAAGTCCGTTGTTGAGAACACTTTGGAGCGTGTAGCCTTTAGTACTCTCCGAAAAATTGTTTTAATCAGATTTTTCAAATTTTGAGAATTTCAAATCCATTGGTGTAGGAATCCATCACGTGCTGAATCAGAACATACGAGATGAATTTTTGAATAAATTTGTGGAACCCGGCAATAATTCTTACCAAGGCAGTGATTGAGCGACAAAAAAATCTTTTAGGCGAAGCACGACGCGAGTGGGGTAAATGCCTTAATTTATGGCCAGTTCTGTGCGCCAAAATGCTATCAGCAGCTGGGAGTATTGTGGATGCTGACAATAAGCTAAATGCTGCCGCCGTTCTTGCGCCTATGCCGGTTTATAGAAAGGATGTACTATAGTCAGGTGTTCTCTGTACAGTGTTATCGGCCTGGTCAATGGGTAAAATCAATTAATCATGAGAGTCAGTGAAAGACCCTCACTGCAAGGAATTTTATATCCCAGAAGCATGTGATCGGCAATTAACCTCAGGAGCTATCCAATTCACTAGTAAGTTCGACCGTCTACTTTTTCATCTGTTTGTGCCCCATTGTATGTGGGCGCAGACCTTTTCTGACCGTACATTAGTCCCTGTTCGTGCAGAGCACAGGTAGATAGATATCCATATCGTATAGTTACGAGCTGTGACCAATAAATCACACTTCAGAGAAAATATGCCAGTAACGACAAATGTGTCTTTGATGCTGTCGAAAACCCATTTCTTATTTGCGTACTTTAAGTTTGGCCTTGGAGCAGCTTCCGCGAGGATCAAGGCCAAATGACTGATCAGGCGATGAAGTGTCCACCTTCTTGCACAACTATTTTGTGAAGTCCACCGACTAGGCATGATTCCACGCCAATCTTCAATGAACAACGAGAGATGATTCAGAAACAAGACGATCGTAGACACGTAGTCGAAGCGACACCGTAAAGTGGAATTTATTTCCATAAAAGAATGGGGTGACGAAGCGCATCAAGAAGACAATTATGGCTTAGACCTGCATAAAACACTACAAAGATTTTTTACTAAATGGTAGGCGGTTGTGGTGACCACAGCTATTTAGTTGATTGATCGCTTAACGAATAAAACTCATACGGCGTTATATCGATATAACGCCGTATGAGTTGGCTTTCCAATTAAGGATAACTTTGCGTATTTGGGTCGCAGGGTCACTCTCTTGGTAATGCAAAAAAGAAACGTCGACCCAATGGCTTCAAGTGCATGGTTTATGCGGAAAAGGTAAAATGTAATCGCGTGCTTGACATGGATAATGCCAGGGACAAAGTGACCAGTTCCGCTAGGCTGGTCAAGCTTGAGGTTGACGGCAATTACTACAAAAAAGCGTTTCTACTGCAATCGACTAAAAAACTAAGAAGACGATGTTTAAATCGGAGCTCAGAACCAAGTGTATCGACAGTAAGATGTAAATGAGCATATGGAAACTGTCAACTAACCAATCAGACTTCGAAATAACGATGTTGAGCAAACACCAAGCGTCAACTTACTGCTGCTGACTTTAAAGCGCACTCTTGGAAGCAGATGGAGCTAGTAAAGTAGCGCTCACCGCTTCAAATATTACAACACGATCGTTTGGTGTTTTGGCCTAAAGTGTAGCGAGCAAGACGAAGACATGAGCCGATATTGATGCAAAGGAGCGTATTGGATTTGAAGAGTCTACAGACGAAAGCGACGACTGATTGACTCCTAAGCGTTCTATATTAAAGATCGCGGGTTTAATGTAAATACTATTCCTGTCCGCGCGACGAGATGTGACGATGATACGGACTTGCCGACAACATATGCCAAGCACTGGAAAGTGATGAAGCAGTCAAGTGCCGTGAAATCATAAGGGGTGAGCTTTGCTGCCATGGGTAGCACCAAACGTGGACAATAAAGCCACGAGAAAAGGATAGATGCAGAATTCAATTATGATGTGACTTTGCCATAAAGCTTGATCATATTGAATTTGCCGTGTGATAAAAATCATGACTTGTCGCAATGGTTTTCGCTCAAATTTGATGACTTCGATACTTATCTACCAGCTGTCAACATGAGCTCGGTCCGAATGGAACATGCAGTGTGTGCCAAATTCGACAGTCAAATGGAGCAGCTGGATGCCGATACTATTCCTCTCAACAGTGCGTGCTGATAGCAAATGTTGATATGGATTTTCCGACTGGAGTCGGCAATGTTCAGTACAGCGAGGCTGCCGTAGCTCTTTTGCTTAGAGAAAGCTTGGTCAGGGTCGGTGACCTTCGTTCTATGCTTAGAACCAGTACGAGTGTAGCGGATCGCAATCCACTTACTTCAAAGGTAATAACAACCTTAACGCAAGGCTAATTAAATCTTCCGTTTAGAACGTAAACTGTATTTCTTGGTTTTATTTATGGCAAAGCCGCCTTTATCAAAATCTTAGTAGTAAACCCTAATTAAATGTATAATTACTGGCTGTTCCAGCCAGTACTGATTTCTAGTTTTGGTGTAGCCGCACCATTTTGTGCTCACACCATACTTGTATCCCGCACCATCTTGTGATCGCACCATCTTGTGTGTCCCACACCCTTCATACTAGGGCATGTGAGACCCTTTACACTCTCCCCCATCAAGATTGTGAGCAATTACAGTTCACATTCAACTGAAGCTTACGTGTCTATGAAACCACAACATCACCAGGACCTCCTTGACGAATTTTTTGCTAATCGATCCCTGTGCCTATAAGACGGAAGACGCTGGTTCCGAGAACGTCCGCGGGCAGAGCCCTTCATCGTCTCCTGCACGCGGTGCAACTTCGGATAGCAAGTCTGCGGCTTCAAAGGAAGCACGGCTCAAGCTCTAGATAATCGAGTAACACGCAGCGCATTGCCAGTTACAGGATCGCACGACCAAGAACACAAACACTGTAACGGAGTTACACGTACCCTGGTATGACAGGGTGGCATACAAAGGAGTGGAATTCACAAGTCGGTGTCATCACACAAAGGTGTGGCTACACCTTAGCAAGAAGCCACTACATGGCTGAACCGCCAGTACTTATGCATATTAATTAGATTTTACTATTTAATCAGGAAAACCTAAGTTTCAGATATGGGTGGCTCTGCCGCAAATAAAACAGATAAACACAGTTTCAATTTTGAACAGAAGAGTACATTTGCCTTGGGTATTCTTGGAGGTAGCGAATTGCGATCCGCTACACTTGTACTGGTTTTAGTATAGAACGAAGAACGGTGGCCTTTAGAAAACTTCTCCAAAGTAAAAAGCTGCGGTAACCCTGCTGCGCTTGGTAGCACTCGTAGTCGATATACGCCTGAGTCGTTATGACTGATTCTTTGTGAGGATAGAGCAATTCTCCTTTTTGTCCCAGGGCATGCGGGACGGGCTAAAAAAAAGAATGGGCACTGAGAGGCTGCACTTCGGTCGATACAGCGTTTTCCTCCCGGGCGGAGCTAATGCTGCAGCTTTCAAGGGTCTTCTCGCCGCCTAACCAGGCATACCGCGTGCGATCGCGTTTCCTTGCCGCCCAACAGAGCAAGAAGGAATTGGTGGACTTGATTCAATAGTTGCGTAGTCTCATTGCCGGTATGGCAGCCGATCCTCTTCCCGAGGCGGTCACAATGACCGTCTTTATGGAGGATCTCCACACTGTCATGACCAAAAAAGTATTCTCTTGCGTGCACCCGTCTTCTATTAAAGAGGCAATGAATGTGGCACAACTTGGTTGGAATGCACATTTTTGCTGCTCTCCGAGCGGGCTTGAGCCGATGGATCAGCTTTGCTGAGGGTGAGGAGGCAGAGCTTCGAGCTGCCGAGCAGCGTTTGAACACCCGACGGTGTTTTGTACCTGTCACCTTCGGACTGGTTGCCCATGCGCAAGGCTCGTGAAGGCTCATCGAGTCGACGTCTCACTTCTCACCAGTATTCTGGCCTGTCACGGGAAAACAACAACACCCAGTAGGCACGAGGAGGCAAACTGGGGGATAATTGAGTTGTGTTGAGCCTCAACTAGGTAGAGAGCAGCAGACCCAGCCTAGACGATCTCCGTGTCTTGAATACGGAGTGAGTATTCAAGCCGGCCTTGCTGGTCGTGGAAGCAACCGTGAAGGGCTTTGGGAAGCCATGGAAGATCCTGATCGACTCCGAGGTGTCGGGCAACTATGATCGTCGCTCCACGATCGAAGGAAGTCAGCTGTATGCTGAGAGGCTAAAAGCGCGGTTGAGAGACATCATCACTGTTCACTTAGTGACGGGACACGTGTCACGGGACCGAAGGTCCCTGTGGGCCTCGGTATCGAGTTTCTTGACTTTGATAGCGTAAAAGCTGCTTACACTTAGACTTGGATTCAAGGCATGACCTTATCCTTGGTATGGCATGGTTTAAACGCCATGAGCAATGGATTCATTGGAGGGTGAAGACCTTGGGCGCTACGCGCAGGTCTCCTGTTGGAGCTTTGGTGAGTCATAAACCCGCCTCTACGAGGAAGCTGAAGTGCTATTGACGCAGGCACTGGACCAGAACGGTCAACGTGCTGAATATCAAAGTATTCGAGTCGACGAACA